TGTTTGGATCTTGCAGGGCTCCAAAGCGGAGACAAAAACATCTCTGGGGAATGTCCACGGGGTGTCCACAGGAAATGTTTTTCTAGTAGTCCTGGTAGCYKCTGCCAGCACAGCCCCCATGGWAGGTGGGAGAATGCAGGTCACTCCTGCAGTGGGGTTTGGGGTCCCCATGTCAGGCACTGCTGCCTCCAGCCCAGAACCTCGGAGGAAAGCCAGAGGTGGGGGAAACTCGGGACCTCTGGAGTGAGGAGTGTGGAGAGCAGAAATAACCAATAACCAGGAGACCCCTGGCAGTCAGGAGAAGGGGGAGTCTCGAGGGAGTCCAGAGTGACTTCTGTGACACCAAGGACCCCAAAGTGGGAAAGCCAGAAAGAGGAGATGACCAGGATTCCCTGGACCCTCAACATCCTACAGAGGGGAAAAGGGGGGACACCTTAGATCCCAAGACCCTGAGGCACTGAGATGAGAAGTCACCAGTGGGGTCCCCAAAACCCCTGACATCCCCAAGTGGGACCCACAGAAACCCAAAGTGGGGAGACCAGAGAGAGAGAACTTTGGGGATTCCCAGGACTCCCAACTGTCTTTGGAGGTTGGGGAGCAAGTAGAGTGGAGGAACTCCAATGCTTGCAGTACCCCCAGCACCCTGTACAGGGGGATCCCCTGGAGCCCGAAGTGGGAGGACCAGAAAAAGGGAAAGCCTTGTGAAGGGTTTTTTGGCCTGAATCTTAGTGTTTTGGAAGTTCTTCTGTGCAACTGGTGGCTTGGGCAGGATTAACCCCCAATGCAATGCGCTCATCCCTTGGTTTTTTTCCCCAAAGCAGGATTTACCATTCCCAAACACCGGCTGGATGAAGGAGGGGGCTGCAAGGAAAAGGAAGAGGTCCCAGGACCCCCAGGCAGGTGAGGAGGAAGTCTCCCACTCCTTTCCCCTCTCTCCTGCTCCATCTCCCAGCTCAGCATTGTCCCCGGCTGCAGGATAACCCCATTAGTGACGCTGTCCTGCCAGGGATGGATTGGAGGGGATCTCCTTCCCCTTCCCTCTGGCCTGGAGGCAAATCCCATCCTCTGCTTGTCCTTCCTCCCCCAGGCAATGAGCTGAGGATGGAGACCAAGGAGGAGAAATCCCCCCAGCAGAACCTCATGGAGGGGGCTGTGTTCAGCATCTCCACAGCACAGGAATACAACAGGGAGGAAAAGTCCCAAAGCTCCTATAGAAGGAGTGGCCCCAAAGCCGGGCCTGGGTGCTCTGAGGGGGAAAGCCCCACCCTGTGCCAGGAAGGTACCCAGAGCTTCAGCCGGGGCTTGGACCGGGTAGTCCATGAGCAGCTTCACTCTGGGGAGAAGCCCTACAAGTGCTTGGAGTGTGGGAAGAGCTTCAGCCAGAGCGCCTTCCTGATCCGTCACCGGCTGATCCACACTGGAGAATGGCCCTACGAGTGTGGGGAATGTGGGAAGGGCTTCAGCTGCAGCTCTGAACTGATCCACCACCAGCGCATCCACACAGGGGAGAGACCCTATGAGTGTTCTCATTGTGGGAAGAGGTTTCAGACCAGCTCCAGTCTTGTCATCCACCAGCGGATTCACACAGATGAGACACCCTTCTGCTGCCCGGATTGCGGGAAGGGCTTCAAGCACAACTCCCATCTCATCAGGCACCAGCGCATCCACACTGGGGAGAGGCCCTATGAGTGTTCTGAGTGTGGGAAGAGGTTTGAGACCAGCTCCAGTCTCCTCCTGCACCAGCGGATTCACACAGATGAGAGGCCCTTCCGCTGCCCCGACTGTGGGAAGGGCTTCAAGCAAAACTCCCACCTTGTCACCCACCAGCGCATCCACACTGGGAAGAGGCCCTACGAGTGTCCTGAGTGTGGGAAGTGCTTCAGCCAGAGCTCTAACTTGACCCGACACCAACGCTGCCACCAGTAAAGGAAGCCCTGTGAGTGCCCCGAGTTTGGGAAGAGCTCCGTGCGCTGCTCCAACTTTATCCCCCATCAGAGGATCCACATTGGGCAGAGACCTGGTGACCCACATTCCTGGTGATCCCATTGGGATGACACCTGGCTTGTTGTCTACACATCCTCCTGGATTCCTCTAAGCACCTGCATGAGCACAGGGGCAGGAACGCTCATCCAGACTCAGATTGACAGTGGAAAATCATTAGAAAGAGCTGATTTCTTCAATGCAAAAAATGTCTGCTTCTCTGTTCAGTTGTTTCTTCTGGTGACATCAGGCATTAATCTGGTGGCATCAGGAAATTAAATAAAGAGATCTATAGCCATACCATTTTACCAGGATTTGGGGGCTGAATTTGGGGTTCAGGGGAATATTTGGGAGGATTTGGGTGTTCTGGGACTGCCCAGGCCAGGGTCCAGGCCCACAATCTCATAGTTGTGCTGGCAGAATGTGTCCACCTGAGCATGTCTGTTCTCCAGGAATTCCGGTTGTGTGTCCCAGTTCCTGGCCTGGGTCTTCCCATCCGGGCTTTGCCCCCA